AGCGGACAGTACCTGCGTGGATATATAAATATTTTATTACTGGTGAGCGATGAGGAGACCATTACCGCAGAAAGTCCGAATACCGATAATAATACGGCTACCGTATGCCAAACTAATGTTTTGAAACTTTATTAAACTCTGTGTTACCAAGGTTTGAACCCGTTCACACCATCATATCGTGATATACATGGATCCGCGCACAGTACTACGCTATATTAATTATATTCGTGTTTTAAAAAATTCCAAAATCCGTAAAAGATCAACCCTTCGACCGATCGTCTTGAAAATTGTACACATCGTAGCGAGTACCCTAAGCTACCGTCCCTGTGCATTTGGCGAGCGTGACATCAATATCACGTGGTCAGGGATCTCATTGTGCATTGTTGGTCTACCGCGGGATTCATCCGGTAAATGAACAAAGTTCTCAACGGGGGGGTACCTCTCGATTTTTTGGCGAAAAAACGACCATCCCCCGATCATCCCTAGCTATTGCGACCCTGGGAAGGAACATTTAGACTCTGTGTTACCAAGGTTTGAACCCGTTCACACCATCATATCGTGATATACGATTACCTCTGAGAGATAACTAAATCCTTCAATATAAGTCGTATAGTTATGAAATCTTCTATATTATATTTTTTTTTTTTTTTTAAATTCAATTAACTTTTACATTGTAATAGAACTTGTTCGGTTAACTTACAAGTCGGTAGTCCTATTATTAGAGTTTTAATTAATTTCTGAATTAGAAATTTACAGAACTGCCGGGTGAGTTATTTAAAATATCGGACTCGCACGGATAAGTAGATATAGACTCACCCGGCACATTATATAGACTCACCGGCACATTATATAGACTCACCCGGCACAATATATAGACTCACCCGGCACATTATATAGACTCCCTCGGTGCAATATATAAACTATTAATCTAAACTATATAACTATTTTATGTTTGCTGTTAAGTACGGTACTCGCGGTGTGGTTGGCATAAATACTGTCTACGGCGTGGTCAACCAGGGTTCAAACCTCAAAACTGACACAATATATTTGTTGTAGTATGTCCTTGAATTGTTGGAATAGTTTTAGTAATTCAGGGTGATCTTTGAATATCGACCGGTTTCACCTACCGACTTGAAACCTCCACAGCTCGTTACTAGTACCCTTAGCTACCATCCCTGCGAGTTTGGTAAGCATCGTAAAAAAATCATTTTTTTATTGAAGCTGTTCGGAAATATTGAAATAACGATTACAGGCCCCCAACCCTTTATTTTGATTTGAGTATATCTGGGTCGTATTTCAACCTGGGTGTTCCGTTTCACCACCGACAATTTTGTTTCGAGGCCCTCTAAACGGTCCCCAGTATCCTCTCAGCATGTCGTCTGACGTTTCTTAAACTTCGAGATTTTTATTGTTTGGAGGCCCGTGATGAAATTCGGCGTCTTGTGTCGAGACCGTACGAGCCGTTTTTAACCGTCTTCGGGGGGTGTCAAAAATTTAAAAACAGTCGTGTTTCATGTTTTTTTCTCGGTCAGGTTTCAACCTGGGTGTTCCGTTTCACCACCGAAAATTTTGTTTCGAGGCCCTCTAAACGGTCCCCCGTATCCGGGGTACATTTGACCCCCCCCCTCAAAGTTTTTCCGGACAAACTCAGCATGTCGTCTGACGTTTCTTAAACTTCGAGATTTTTATTGTTTGGAGGCCCGTGATGAAATTCGGCGTCTTGTGTCGAGACCGTACGAGCCGTTTTTAACCGTCTTCGGGGGGGTCAAAAATTTAAAAACAGTAATTTTTCGTGTTTTTTGGCAGAAACACTTGGATTTTGGGCGGTCCGAGCCGTTTTTTTAGTCGTATTTTATAGACCACTTTGCCCCGAATCTAACGGCACCGACAGCGAGGTGATCCGACTTTTGGTTGTGGAGTTATGATTTTTAGTTTATTTTTTTTACTCGGAAAATTGATTGAGCGCATGCATTTTTGGTTTTTTTTTCCCCATCGATCGCTACCGACCTCTAGAACCTGACTATTTGGCGTACGGGAAATCGAAAAGCCTCTATGGTCCGAGTACGTACGACCTTTATTTCGTCCGTAATCTGCGTAACAAAAAGTTGAAAAACGATTTAAGTGTTTTTTTCGTATGACCAGTCGTTTTATTACGGTATACGTATGCATAACGTTTGAATAAATGCGAGAAATACTGACTTGCTGCGGTGTATAGCTTCTCCTCGCCAACCATCGCAAGAGTTAATATTATAATCAATTCTAGAGGATATCAGACTATCAGAGTATTTACTCTTTCCAGGAACATATTTTTTATACCTGTAGGGATTATGGTTATTTTTTAATAATTTTTTTTTAAATAACTCACCCGGCAGTTCTGTAAATTTCTAATTCAGAAATTAATTAAAACTCTCATAATAGGACTACCGACTTGAAACCTTCATTGTTTCATTGCAAATGTTCCTGGCTCCCATCCCTGCTAGTTTCGTGTAAAAATATCAAAAACCCCGTATGCACCGAGCTGACGGCCGGTGTCTGTCCGATCGCACGGAATTCACCCGGCAGTTCTGTAAATTTCTAATTCAGAAATTAATTAAAACTCTAATAATAGGACTACCGACTTGAAACCTTCATTGTTTCATTGCAAATGTTCCTGGCTCCCATCCCTGCTAGTTTCGTGTAAAAATATCAAAAACCCCGTATGCACCGAGCTGACGGCCGGTGTCTGTCCGATCGCACGGAATTCACCTGGCAGTTCTGTAAATTTCTAATTCAGAAATTAATTAAAACTCTTATAAAAGTACTACCGACTTGAAACCTTCACTGCAATATTGCAAATGTTCTTGGCTACCATAGCCTGGTGTGAGGGTCGACAGAGTGAGTCCGAATGGTGCCGGGTGAGTCTAAGTATATGCAGGTAGAGTGTAGGTTTATGCCGGGTAAGTCTCCACATAGGCCAGGTGAGTATTTGTACCGAGTGAGTCTATGCGTAAATTTCGAATCTTGGGGATGATCTTTAGGGTGATCTTTGAATATCGACCGGTTTCACCTACCGACTTGAAACCTCCACAGCTCGTTACTAGTACCCTTAGCTACCATCCCCATATTAGCCCGTTATTTGGACTTGTTGTTCTCAAAAATAATAAGGGATGATAGTAGAGGTAACGAGGAATGCACTCATGCCATTTTCATTCTTGATATGATTAATCAGATATGCCCCAGTTCAAAAAGTCGTATAAAATCAGGGTTTTGACTTAGAGTCCCTGATTACGCCGTCCAGGACTTATATCTGAGAAAATGATTTTTATAATTGCAGCCCGGCGGGAAATATCATACTTAGCAGCCGGACGGCCGTCCTAGGTACTTATTAATATAATTAATATAATATAGTGAACAAAAACACTACAGAACGATAGTAAATGCACTCAGGAATGCACTCATACCACATACTATATTATATTAATTATATTACATCGATGTTTTTATACAGATGTACGTAAAAATAAATTTAATCATTAAGTGAAATTTTAGCCCCTCGTGACCTACGTTTTTTCTCAACTAATCTTATAGAACATGACCCGGGGAGCATTTTTGATCCTCGGGTAGGGTGTCGAGAAATCGATATTTACGGAGAAAAATATTTTTTTTGACTCATATGTTCTGAACATGGGGGGGGGGATTGAGCACGGGGTATTAATTTCCCCTTAAATTTGAAAGCGGCAAACTACTCAGCGAGTCGTGCTCTATAGGATTCAATTGTTAAATTCCAACATATCACAAAGTAAACGACCCTTGTATTCCGGGGGTATGTAGAAACAGACCGGTAGCGTATACTATAATTATTACTATTATTACTATAGGTACGGTATTAATTATTCTTAATCAAGCGAAATCTAACATAGTTAGTATAGAACAGTATAAAAATATATTTGACGAATTAAAGTTTTCAGATTTTATTGGTGAGTAATTATTTCATAATATTATAAATGAAAATAAATAAAACTAAAAGATAGCACTATACTCCGAATATGGTTGATATCGATTTTTATTTTGACTGGAAACATCTGTGGAAATATGTAGGGCCCCGCATCCGTGGAAATATAAATGGAGACGCATCCGTGGAAAATAGAGACGGAGACGCATTATAGTATTCTAATGGATTTTCTTGGTATGGGCCAGCATGTTTAATTTCTTGAAATTATCTATGGCACATATTTTCATAGTCATGACACGACTTACAGTCCGCGTTACAGTCCGCATTACACCTTGATACAGTACAGTTAATCTTCATCATGGACGACAGAGTTGTTTTGTGTTATATGGATTTTCTGTGCGACGAATTCACGACCGATGTGTACCATAAAAAAATTAAAACGATGATACGGGAAAACAAGAGGAGAATATATATCGATATAAACGACGTACGTAAGTACAACATTGTTAGAGCAAATGCATTGTTAAACAATTTTTTGGTAGAAGAGGTAGCACTTAAGCGTACCATTAAAGAATGTGTCCAATGCATAGACCCATCTTATGCAAATAAACACGATGAGTTTTTTGTTGGCTTTTATGGTGCGTTTGGCTCGAATCATGTTACGCCTAGGACCTTAAGGTGCAAGTTTTTAGGCCGGTTAGTTTGTGTGGATGGGGTTGTAGCAATGACGTAAGCTATGACACTAGATTACTATGACACTAGACACTATCATAACACTATAGTTAATATTATATTTGAATTATTTTGACTTCAGTACTATAACAAATATGGGCATAAATGATGCTGATACGTCAAATGCGTCTACTACGGACGAAATTGAACCTGAAGACCAACAAATCATACAAAACGACGAAGAACAAACAGAAAATATTATGTCCGATTTGCCATCAAGTTCATATTGCAGTTCATAAAAGACGATAAGATTTCTGTTATTTTATCCAAACGATCAAAGGAAACGAAGGATACCATACTATGCATTCAAGAACAAAATAAATTGTTGGCTACAAGCATGAAAAACCTGTGTGAAGAGGATGAAATTGATATATTTTTTAAAAGTATTGCAATGACGGTTAAAAAAATGCCACAGCAAGCGATCAAAGAAGCTAAACTTAAGACACTTACGTTGATCACTGAAATAGATGACAAATATTCAACTCGTCCAACACTACCGTATCAAATACCACCACATGTACCAATGTCAACTGAGTTCACCAGCCAGCTCATACAGTACCTCAACATAAACATCACAAGGGTTTTTGCCGTTCAATTATGGTGACGAGTCTAATGCTTAACCTTTGCATTTTTTTCAATTTTAAATAGTTGGTGCTTATAATAAGTTTAACAGTTACTTACATTTTATTTACTTTTGTTATATTTTAAAATTCACTTGTTTTTATTCAATATTGTTTGTTGATTTTATTTAGAAACAATAAATTAACCAAAAGACTGGTTTAAATAAAAATATATTTAGTTGTTATTTTGAAAAAGTTATATTACTACTATAAGGTACTTATTTATAGGTTATTTTGTAGCTCTATAGTATATTATCATTTAAATACGTCTATTAATATAAAAATGAGAATTAATATCAAGTCATAGTATATTATTTAGTTTAGATGGTTTTTCTGAATATAAATAGGTACAGACTACAGACTACAGAATATAATATTATAATGTTAGAAACTAGAATCATAATCTATAATAATAAAACACATTTTTCGTGGGTAAACACAAACATATTTATTACAAGTTTGTAATAATAATTAAGTATAATAAATAATAATAATGACAATTTAAAATATAATATGGGTGAATATAATAATACTATGAAACTATAATCTAATTTTCATGTTTGCCACGTTGCAGCTCCTTCGTTAACAAAATACTCTTTAAAAATGTCTCTCACTGTACTTAAAAATCCACCTTCTCTGGCCAAAGACGTCATGTTAGCATTAAGAGGTTCTTCTGAATCCAATTGATAAAATACCTTTCCATTGTTTTGTAAATATGCGTCTCGTAACATATTATGTAAACAACATGCTACGATTATCAAGTCATCACATGTTGTTGTATTTAAATTAATGGGTTGAAAAAATACTCTGAATACTTTACTTAATAGTCCGAAAGCATTCTCCGTAACTCGTCTAGCACGGCTGAGTCGATAATTGAATATTGTTTTTTTACCGTCTCCTTTAGCTGACTTTTGCGAAAAGGGGTCTTAAAATATGTTTGTGCAGTCTGAAAGCCTGATCATCAAGTATGACGTGTGGAACTTTTATGTCAGTACCAGGAAGTGCACAATCCGCAGGGAATCCAAATGTACAATTCAATATTTGTTGCCCCATATTGGATTTCAAAAAAATTCCACTATCCTTTTCTCCCAAACGATCCAACATCAATAGCTATAAATTTATAGTTTGCGTCCACCATAGCCAACAAAACGACAGAAAAATATTCTTTATAATTAAAAAATAAAGAACCTGAATTACTTGGGCATTGGATTCTAACGTGCTTTCCGTCAATAGCGAGTATACAGTTAGGAAAATTCCACTTCTGATAAAATTCATCTGCTTTAGTCTTGAAGTCAACTTTACATGGGTCAGGCAAAAATAGTGGCATTAATTTTTGTTTCATAATTGCTAAAGTTTCTCTCACTATAATGCTAATATAACTGTGGGAAATACGAAAAGAAAATGCCAAAGATCGGAAAGATTCTCCTGTTGCTAGAAACCTAAAAAAAAAAAATAAAGAAATTGTAATAAATAACTGGTATACTTATGAAAATAACCAAAGTTACTCCTAATTAAACTGATTAAATTTTTTTTTAATATAATTTCTTTATAAAAATAATTAATATTTAAATATTTTAGTTTCTGAGCATGAATGTAATGTATTGTGTCTGTCATCACCACTTGGGGCATTCATTTACGATTTTAGTTATTTATTTGTTACTTAATAATATTATTCGTAGGTCTAGAAAGTTTATAAGTAGGTATTATGATATATTTTATACACAGAATGATATTTTCAAAAAAAATTAATTTAACCTACCGTATTACTAATAGAAAAAATAATCATTTTAATAGGAATAATACCTATCATATTATAATATACTTCATAGGTTGTGTATGCTGACAGAGTGTTATTGCTCAGAATCGTTTTTCGTATACCTACAATGATTTTATATCATTGAATTCAAATGTACCCATCATCATCTACTACTTATAGGATTGATACTTAACTATTTTGTATATCATCATTATTTATAAATATATTAGTAACCAATTTTAAGATTTATAAAATTGTATATTAGGTTAGGTACTAATAAATACATTTTTTTAAATCGTCGTCTAATTTATTATATTTCTAAATATCAAATTTTACCTCAAAGTAAGGGCTAGTTTTTCCTCTGGAGATATTGACTCAGGTACACGTAATGTCGGTTTCTTTGTTATTTCTTCTTGAACCAAAGATAAAATAAAATTGAACTGTTTTCGATTTAGACAAAGAAATTCCCGAAATTTTTCATCGTCATTAATAAGATGTCCACCAATCAAATTTTTAAAGAATCCTTCAGAGTCCCTCGTGGAAAACAAACTGTTAAAAGGTTTTCTTTTTTTTGGGATAATGTTCATAAGTAACTCATATTCCATTTCTTCATCACGAAGTAACAACTCACAAATAGTATTATTATTATTAATAATACCTACTGTTCAAAATTAAATTTTGATTCATTTTGAAAAAATAAAAAAATCAGAACTTATATGTGGAAACTACGTGCGGAAGAGACAACGGTCACAGTGGTTATGATTTAATTTTGTAAAATCAAACTAAAAGAGTGGGATAAAATAATAAAATTTATGGCGTCCGACGCTACAGAGAAAACAGGGTAAACGCTGAGTCCAGACTCTGCAGGGAACCGTACCTTGAGGCTAAAAAAATTGGCTGCATACGAACTGAGTCCCAGTATAACCTTTTATGACGAATTGAGTCCCGGGTTGTTTTAGGGTATATACCAATTGAGTCCAGTGAAATTGTAGGTATAATACTAATTTAGTCCATGTTTTAATACTAACTGAGTCCCGTAAAATTTAAAAAAAAAACATTTTCCTTCCCATTTTTACAGACTTAGGATTGTCTGTAACAAAAAATTCTACAGGTATGGTTAAAAATGTTTTATTTTCTTAAATATTGTATAATATAAATATATAATAATGTAGGGGTATAATATAATATGAATAATTTGTGTATAATTAAATAAATGTAGATAATGATAAAATAACATTTTTATATTGGTAAGAATTTATGGGATAAGCATTGTACCATATTCAAATCTACTTATTGTGTTCGATTGAAACAGCTGCATTTGATGGCTGATTTATTTTAATTTTAATTTTAAACAATTTCTTGAATTAATTATATGAACACTTCTAATTTTTATATACGTTTCGCATTGTATATTCAACAAAATGTTTATAAATTGGTAAATGTTTGGATGTGTTGAATAAAACATTGCATTAATTTTCGAATGAAATGATTCACAACTATTGGTGGTCCTCGCCAATGAATGGCTGTGTGGCATAATTTTCGCTGTGTCTGGACTCTGGATGGTTATTTTATATTTTACTCAAAATAATCCTCGGACTCAATTCGTATACAATTAGTTTCCTAACCCCAGACTCAATTAGTATATGTCTCGTTTGTACCCGGGACTCAATTAGTATACAGTGAAAAAATTAACCGCTCACATTTCATTAGTTTTCATCATCCCATTATAAAAAATAACATTGTAAAACTTAAAACTATATTTGACTAAATTAATTTATAATAAAATTAATTATTGAATTATTTTGTTGATACCTATATTATTATTATTGTAACATTTTATTTATTTAACTATATTGTATTATTTTATATAATATTAATTCGCATTGCCTTAGTTTGGCATCCATCATACTATTATTTTATATTGATTGTTAATTTATTTTTAATATTAATAGAATTATTGTATTATTTTATATATACATTGTATTGTATTAATTATTATACTGATTATTAATTTATTTTTAATATTTAAATGAATTATTGAATTATTTTTTAGATATATTATTATTATTATAACAGGTTGACAGCAGCAGTTGCCAGGTCGAGGTAAAAATTGGTAGGTGGCGGAATCGATAGGTTGTTTTTAGACTACCTGAACTGGCGGAGTCGATACTGGCGGAATCGATAGGTTCCCATTTTTATGTGACACACGCTGGTCACTTATCTCTGGGGCATTGTATATAATATTATGTAGTACTGTAGTAGAGTAAATTTAATATAATTGTTGTGATTAATACTTGGATATTGTTATATTATGTATATCATACACATATTTGGAAATGGATGTGAGAAATAAACACATAAAATGAAGGTAAATATATATACAATAATATAAATGGTCAAGGGTGATTTTTTAAGTGTGCTCACTCCCATTTTTTCTTTTAATAGTATTCATTCAAATTCTCATATTTAGAAGTGGGAGTTCCTATTTGAAAAACAGACATTTGTAATATCACAGTATCTTATATTCTTCGGCAGTACAAAAAATCTTTAGTGGAACATTTCCACCGAATACTTGAAACTAGATTATGATGAACCGTATATGCATATCCGTCAAATATATTTTTTTATTTTCTGCTACTACAAAAACCTCCATTTCAACCTCCATCTCAACTAAATAGCGTCTCGGGATACACTGACAAAGTGACAAATTCAATTTATAATTCAAGCCCCATACGTCCCTCATGAAATCGATTATATCGATGAGATAAATGTACATGATACTATAGGTACCTATATAATATATTATCTAGATTTATATTATTATCGTGGTATTGATTATCGTTATTACTTATTGTAGTATGTAGGTATAATCATATGGTAGATAAACTGTAGACATACTGCCACGATAAAAATTAGATAAATATAGCCATAGCCATATCCATACCACCATAATAGACAATTTTGTATTTTCGGACTTTTTGTCCGACAGTGAAAATGTACTCGGACTTTTTATCCGGGAATCAAAAAATGAATCCGGACTTTTAGTCCAACTATTTTCATTCCGGACTTTTCGTCCGGGATTCTAAATTGTCAAATACCATTCACAACATTTATATTATTTTTTCGGAAGTCAATAATTAGTATGTATGTATTTTGTTGATCTTCCTTTTTTCTACACTTATATATTGTATAAATATATTTTATTTTATAACATACTTTAATAAAATTGTTCAAATAATAAAATGTATAATTGTATTGAAATAAATCACCTTTATAAATTCAATTTTATTAATTATTTGTTACTTTTAAACTTTTAAAGTAATTACTAATTTGTATAGTTGTGTTGTAACGGTATCTAATACACTAATTATTTGATGAGATAAGTTTTAATTTTTATAAATTCTTATATTTTTAACACAATAAATAATATATATTATATAGAAATTATGTTTAAATGTTTTTGAAGAGGTTTTTATATATGTTTTATATAACATATAGGACTCGATTTTCGATATTTTATTTTCAAAATACATAAAATCGTTTTGCATTTTTTGTTTTTTGTTTTCACTTTTTTGATTTGTGAATAATTGGTATAATAAATTAAAATATCAAAAATCTAGTCCTATACGTTAACAGATTTAACTCTCCTCTATAACTTTTATAATAGGTTTTTTGCTCTAAAACCAGTCAGTTAGCCGTGTTTTTGGAACTAGAAAAATAAGTTTTTTCTCGCAGCCGCGGCTGTCACGGCAATACGATAATGCAAGGACGGTTGCAGGCATCGTAATAAATCGAGCATAATTTTATTTGGTTTTATTTCACGTCAATAATAACCCAACAAAAACACTTCGTCGAACTCCGTGTAAAAAATTGATAAGTAAAAAAAAGTTAACTTAAATTTAAAAAAATCTAGTAATTTATAATACTTAAACATTATAAAGATGTGATATCAAGAATAAATGCTAAGTAAATTCAATTTTAAATTAATTGATTATATCTCAATCATTTATTTACGTTGCGAGAATTTATTTTCTTTATAAATTAATTAATTAAGACTTTTTTTATAATTAAATTTAGTAACATTTGTCATGGAAATTTGTTAAATAGTCCAGTTATGAATAGACATGTTTATTTGTCGAAATATATAAATTCTCGCAAAGTAAATAAATGATTGAGATATAATCAATTAATTTAAAATTGAATTTACTTAGCATTTATTCTTGATATCACATCTTTATAATGTTTAAGTATTATAAATTACTAGTTTTTTTTAAATTTAAGTTAACTTTTTTTTACTTAGCAAATTTTTACACGGAGTTCGATGAAGTGTTTTTGTTGGGATATCAGTAGTTTTTTATAACATATTTTTATGTACTGGCATGTAATATGTAATGTTTTATATTTTTATTCATTTATTTTATTGTTATGTTTTTTTATTTAATATACTCTATTTTTTTTTTAAATCATATTCAATTTTTTTTTTCCATTATTATAATATATACATTTTTACCCCCTCGAGGCCATCGTTCAAAATGTATTGCAGTGTCATTACATCGTAGCCATTTATTTTGATGTGAAATTATGCTTGTATAATGGGCTTCATTCATAGATGGACCATGATGGCAGATGACAGAGTTTAAACCATACGATTTACCATCAACTTTAATTATTGTAGTGGGTAATGCATTAATGGTAAGGTTTGATATTTTGGTATTGACATTACTCCAAAGTTGTATTTGAAAGTACAAATATTCATTAGTATTTACTATATTTGTTATCTGTGTATGATCTGTAATAGCATTACAGGCACTGCAATTAACGCCTTCTATTAACACTTCTCTGAATAAATAATCTAGCATTGTATTTAAAGTTACTGTTTCATTTTCATTAGGTACGTTAAGTTGAATAATATAGTTTTGAGTTATTTGTATTCTCTTATTATGGCACGCAGAACAAACTAATTGTATCTGTAATTTATGAGATAGCGCATTTTTTAGTGGATCGTAAATGTTTATAAGAGCACTAATAAATTCAGCAGCGTCCTGTTGTTCTTCATTAATAAAAGGGTGCCCAAGCTGTCTTCTATACTCCATACCACGAGAGAACGCATACGGCGGCCGACGAAAACTCGTTTGTTTTCGCGCATGAGCGTTCCCCTCTACGAAACAGTCTCAAGCCGGAATAAGTCGATCGCTATCGGAACTAGTCGGTTTTCGGTTAGATCATGTATGTACAGAATGGTTCATGAGCAGCTGACAATTGTTGATTCACGCGTCGTGTACACTACTCAACTACTGTTTTGTGTTTTTTTTACAGAGTGAATCTTGTTTTATTTTGACTGTGCCGTAAATTGTATTATAATTTTTTGCGGTAGTGTTTGCGTTACTACATTTACGTATATCGTTTTATTTTAACTGTCAGGTGTATACCTTAATTTTTTTTATTTAAAATGGATCAAGAAGGCAGCAATATTTCACCAATGAAAAAAAATCCTCGTGGAAAAGTAAGAATTATTTTAACTATTATAATTGTATTATTTCCGACTGTACTAATGTACTATAGGTAATCGGAAAAAAAATCCCCCGGAAAAATAATCCCCAGAAAAAAAATCCCCCGACGAACAACCCCGGAAAAAAAATCCCCGACCTTAGGAAAAAATTACGATAATATATTATGTGTAATTCAAATTAACTAAATTAACAACTTCACAAATAGGTAAAGCATATAAAAATATTTCGAATGATCGATACTTCAATTAATAATACAGTTAAAAACATAGTACACAAAAATATTACACAAAATATAGGTAATAATAATAATAATTATCAAACGATAATTTATTGAATGTAGGCACGAGGCACATACTTATGTATAGTAAAAAGACTTAGAATGTTTTAATTTTTTTTTTTAAATGTTAATCTATATTATTATTATTACCTATATTTTGTATAATATTTTTGTATACTATGTTTTTAACTGTATTATTTGACGTATTAACAAAATATTATTTATAATATAAAATTTTTTTAACAATATGATATAATATACGTATTTGTAATTACATTTTAATTATAGATGCTAATTAAAGTTTAAAAGATATTTGTTCAACCATTTGCATGTGGTTGTGAGTGATATTGTAGTCTGGGGATTTTTTTTCCGGGAGATTTTTTTTCCGGGATTCATAATATAGTATGTTATATTATACTACAATAACCATTATTTTTAATTTTAGTTTGTTGGTTCTGGTCAAAAATTGATGATTGTAAATTTTTACAAAAACAAAATGGCACTGCAAGCAACTGGAGATCTGCCAAAATTGACTGCGAAGGAAATGATAAAAAATATATCGGAAGAAAGTGGTATCGGACAACGGACCGTGAGCGTTACTTTGTCGGAATATCGCAACAAAAAGTCTGTAACATCACCAAACAAGACCAAAATCAGACCAAAAGTAACCGATAAAGTAGACGAGTTCGACCAAAATGCCATCAGGCAAAAAGTTCATCAATTTTGGCACAACCATCAAATTCCGACGTTGAATAAAATATCAACAGCAGTCAATGAAGATGATAGTTTGCCAAGATTTCAAAAATGTCATTGTACAGAGTTCTGAAACATCTGAATTTCGAGTATGTCCGTAAGTCTCGTAATAGTGCATTAATCGAACGGAATGATATTGTGTGTTGGCGCCGAAACTATTTGCAAACTATAAAGCATTACCGTCAGTTAGGTAGACAAATATATTATCTTGATGAAACATGGGTGAATGCAGGTGAAACTACATCGAAATCATGGGTGGATACTACAGTGAAATCGACAAGGGACACATTTCTCAGAGGACTTACAACTGGACAAAAGGAACCATCTGGTAAGGGCAAGCGGCTTATTGTTGTGCATATCGGGTCATCTGACGGGTTTGTTCCTGGAGGTCTATTTTGTTTTGAATCGAAAAAAAATACCAAAGATTACCATGACGAAATGAACGGTGATAATTTTTATGAGTGGTTCAACACAATTTTGCCGTTATTGAACGAAAATGCCGTGATCGTCATGGATAATGCGTCTTATCATTCGGTGAAGAAGGACCCATGCCCCGTTATATCTTGGAAAAAAGCAGATATTATCTACTGGCTGGAAAATAAAGGTGAGGTAGTTGATCATACAAAGGTTAAGTCACAATTATTGGAACGAGTACAAGTTTTAAAGCCTCAATATGGACAATATGTGATTGATGAATTAGCAAAGGCTGCTAACAAAACTGTTGTACGTCTTCCTCCTTATCACTGCGAATTAAACCCAATAGAACTCGCGTGGTCCTCAGTAAAAAATTATGTTCGTATGAATAATACAACATATAAATTACAAGATGTTCGTAAACTATTGGAAGAAGGCGTGGAACGGGTTACACCAGACATGTGGAAAAACTTTATTACTCATGTGAAAAAAGAGGAAGACAAATGTTGGCAAATCGATGTCTTATCTGATGAACTCTTTGATGAACAAGAATCCCACGTCTTAACAATCACAGGTGACACAAGTTCAGACTTCGATTCTGATTAAATTATTTACCTATAAATGTTTGTATATTATTTTTAAATATGACTATGGTTTTTAAATCAATCGTAAGATTTTGTACATTTTTAATTTATGATTTTTAATATTACTGTATTATTTGTATTTGTATTTTTTGTAAATATCGTTTTTAAATCAAACGTAAGATTTTGTACACTTTCAATATTACTGTATTATTTGTATTTGTATTTTTTGTAAATATCGTTTTTAAATCAAACGTAAGATTTTGTACATTTTTAATTTATGATTTTTAATATTACTGTATTATTTATATTTTTAATTTAATGACTTATGAAAAAAATATAAGAAATGTAATATGATTTTATAACCAAAAAAAAAATGGTTTATTGCTCTCATAACAATATTAATTAATATTAAGTAAAACATCAACTAATACGCGTGAATCCGTGATTATACAAGCACGTAATATCTTAATCATTTGAGCCGCTGTATGCAACTATAAGCTCGCGTGAAGTGGGAATGTCACTTATTGCCGTAGGCGTTCTCTTGTGTTACGGTGGGGGAAATGTGGCCTCGAAACGACGGAGCGCAATCATTCGGATGCGCGAGCCGTATGCGTTCTCTCATGGTATGGAGTATAATACTTGAAGAACTTAAAATATTTTCTTGTGAAACGTAAGACAATGCAAGATTTTTCAGAACAGAATGTTCCGAAGAGTTAATTAGGTGTTTTAATATATGTGTACAATTGAATATGGCATGTAAAGAAGAATTTGCGTAGCATGATATATTATTTGAATTGGAAAAGCCTGGTATAGTATGATGAGGAATATCTTGATAAGAAGTTGAAGGTATTTGGGCATTATTAGCACGGATATTTGATGAATCTGTCCATATTAAATCTTTAATGTGTCTATTTTTTGTGGATAAAAGAGGTATCTTACCTAAATCTGGTCTATACTTCTCTCTAAGTCTATTGTACTCTTTAATTGCCACTACTTGCGCTTTTATATTCTTAGGGTCAAAATTTATAACATGGAAACTTTTAAACTACACACTCTGGATAGTTAGAATGAGGTTTTATCCGCATTAGTTAAATCTAAGCTGAGTCTTGTAGAGCATTTAACCTTAACGTCGGATATTTGGACAGACATTCTTAATACAAGAAGTTTTTTGGGCATGACGGTACATTTTTTAAGTTTAAACAAAGTTGCTCTTGAGAGTGTGACACTTGGTGTGTTAGAGCTTTCTGCCAGCCATACATCTGACAATATATCCGCTTGGTTTGAACATCTTCTTTTTCAGTGGGGTATAACAAAAAGCCAGATTTTCACCGTCGTCACCGATAATGGGGCTAATATATTATCTGCTGTTAACAAAACTTTTGGCCAAGAAAAACATTTGCCATATTTTGCCCACACTCTGAATTTGGTATCCGAAAGGGCATTGGTTAATCTTGCAGATGTACATAATATCATCAACAAAATTAAGGCTATTGTAACTTATTTCAAGCAATCTGTAGCGGCTTCTGACGAACTTGGAAAATTGTGCGATCATAAACTAAAACAATCTGTACCAACACGTTGGAACTCCATTTATTTTATGATAGATAGATTTATTTTATGTTCCAACCATATTGCTTCAGTATTAATCAATATTCGCCGGGGCCCCGAAATGTTGACAGCTGATGAAATTGATGTAGCAAAGGAAATGTTGTTAGTGTTAAGGCCGATGGAAGTGGCGACAAGAGAATTATGTGGTCAAAAATATGTAACTGGCAGCACAGTTATACCCTTAATTAATTGTCTTATTAAAAAGACTGAGAGTATTGATCTAACCCATCCAACTGCTTTATCCTTAAAAAAGGCAATGTTAGAAAATTTAGATAAAAGGTTTGGTAAGATGGGGAAGAGAAGTCTCCTTAGTGTTGCCACTATATTAGATCCCCGGTTCAAAACTATTCATTTGAATAACCCATAATCTAGTTCAAGAGCTATTAAATTTATTAAAAATAAAATTAATGAAATAAAAAGTAATTGTGAAGAACCTAACTCCTCAAACCAAGGCTCTAGTGATGATGATGGTGAACGCAGTGATAGTTTGTGGTCAGTTCACAATGATCTAGTTTCAAAAAAAGCTGCATCACAAAGTTCAGAACAGTCTGAAGAGCGAATGCCAACTGAACTTAAGCATTATATAAGCCAGCCCACAATACTGTTAGGTGATGACATACTTAAATATTGGGATATAAATGGCAATATGTTCCCTCTCTTAAAAAAAATTGTACAACCATATTTGTCTTTAGTAGCAACTTCTGTCATTTCGGAAAGATTGTTTTCAAAAGCGGGAAATATAATGACCGAAAAAAGAAACCGATTAAAGGGGGAAAAGTTGCAACAGCTTTTATTTCTAAGTTCTCTAAATTTTGAAGACTGGCGCATAGAATAAAAAAAGTTGTTTTTATTGTGGGATGTAATTATTTGTAAATATGTATAGTGTAATGTATCTGTACAGCCTTTTGTATATAAAATGTATTAATATGTATAATGTAATTATCTGTACAGCCTTTTGTATATAACATTTGTTAATATGTATAATGTATCTGTACAGCCTTTTGTATATAAAATGTATTAATATGTATAATGTAATTATCTGTACAGCCTTTTGTATATAACATTTGTTAATATGTATAATGTATCTGTACAGCCTTTTGTATATAAAATGTATTAATATGTATAATGTAATTATCTGTACAGCCTTTTGTATATAACATTTGTTAATATGTATAATGTAATTATCTGTATATTATTTGTAAATATGTAAAATGTATCTGTACAGCCTTTTGTATATAAAATTCGTTAATATGTATAATGTAATTATCTGTATATTATTTGTAAATATGTACACAGTCTTGTAAAAAATACTTTTGAAATGTTGAATACATTTTAATACCAAACATTGTTTTTTCGATATTATTTTTATTGATGTCAAATTTTAGTTAAAGTTGTAATAGTTATTGTAAAAAATTATGTCAAAGTACCAATGATATAATAAACAAAAAAAAAAATACAGTGTTTACCATAATCATTGTTGTATTATTTATCTACCTAGCTACATTAAATACCTAAATCCTAACTTAGTCAACTCAAACTTAAATTTCAATATTATTTACATATATTTGTATTGTATCTGATTCTTACTTATTTTTTTTATTTATATTAACAAAAAAATATAATAGTATACAATATGTGGGAAATATTACTAGAAGTTACTCTACACTGCAGAAGAACCTTGTGTCGTAAAGTATGAGTACTTATTATTCAGTGCCAAACACAGTGGATAAATAATAATAATAAAAAGTAATGACAGTAAGAAAAAACTAACCTGAGTTCAGCTTAAAATAGTTGAATATAATAAGAAATTTTTAAATGTTTAAATGTATAGTAAAAAAAATCATATTTAAGTACTTTATAGTTTATATAATTAAATATTATTGTAGAACAATTATATGTTACTGATAGTACACACTACATAACATCAAGTATGTTATTTTAATGAGGTGTAAAATCCGTTTATGACAGTATAAGGTCATTTAAAAATATTGAGTTTCAAAATTCAAATTACTTGTACAAGTAAAAAAATAAATGTGTGAAAACAATTTAACAAAAATATAATGTACCAAAATAAGTAACTTGTAAGTAACTACTTCCAGCCCTGCCTAAGTGGTAATTAAAAATAAATAATTAATAATTTTTTAACCAAGTTAAACATTTTCTTATAATTACAGTTTAAGTGTTGAATATATTGTTTGTTAATTATTAACTTAACTAATATTTTTTCTCATCAATTTTCCAACTTTTGATGATGTCAAAATTCAATAATGTATTTATTAGGTTCTTTTGTAGACTTTTGTTATTACAAATAATATACTGACTTCTGAGACTTCTATGCTCTATAGAAACCCATTCCCCTTCTAGTCAATTAAAAATATTTTTGAAAATTGAATATACCTCGTGTTAATAATTACTTACCTAGTAAAATAATTATATTAATTTATGATTTTATTAACAGGTGTTTAATTACCAAATAATAAAGTATTTGAAAATTATTATGCATGGCAAGAATTTGTATTTCTGAATGCATGTTTTATGTGGGCATAATACGTATATATTATGATAAGTAAAAACATTATAATTTGGTAATTTATTCAAAAAAATTTTTAAAAAAATAAAAATTTAAGGCGGATCAACCTCCCCCCTTGTGACCAGCTATTACCATTTGAACACTGTCACTGTCCATTGAAGTGGTGAGTTCCGTTGGTTATAACACTAATACTTGTCGCTCAAATTTCAAGAGGGGCTAAGGCAGGGAGTACTCGCACTGGCATTAATGAGTTTGGAAAACCTTTATATACTTATCATTGTGACCTAGGCGTCACAAGGGAGAGCTAGAAAATGTTCAAAAAGCACCATCTAGTTGTTTAAAAAATCGTTATTTTTAGAATCGATTTTCCAAAAAAACGATTTTTTTTTTAATCGATTTTTTTCATTCCGATTTAAATCGATTCAAAAATCGATTCACCGACCTGAATCGGCCATCACTAATATAGAGAGGCCAATGTCTCAGAAAAGTGAGGCGCAAAGTGTACTATACTTACAGGTTGGCCAGTTAGAAGCAACAAAATATTGTGTAATCATAAAAGAATAAAATATTGTAAATATACAATATAATATTATATAGTATGATGTAATATTATACCTAATACCTAATAATCCAAGACCGTGTCTAATACCTATACATCATTTTGTAATTTGAACTTTTCAACAAAAAGTAGGTATGACGGTATGCGTAATTCAACAATTAATACTTATAAACTATAGCTATATTATATTATTATTATTTATGGGATTAAAGGTACCTATACATTATTTTGGATTGGATATTTTGACCTAGATTCAAAAAATCAGTTATTTATTTATTTAACAATTTACTTAATAATATTAATAATACTTAATAGTAATAATACTGAATAGAAATCATAATAATAATAATAATACTGAGTAGTAATAACAATATTATAATAGTTAATAAATAATAATAGTAATACTGAATAAAATAATAATTATAACAATAAATAATGATTATAATTATAATAATGAATAATAATGTTAGTAACTATACATTACATTTTTGTTATAAAACACAAAAATAATAAATTATTGTCCTTTAAAAATAGTTAATTTATTATACCACATTCTAATGGAAGGTGTTTCATTGTGACTTTTCAAATTGTAGTTTATTTTTAAGTTAATATATGTTGATGTGATAGATTTTATTAGAAGAGTTATATGATCGGTTAAAGGATTTCTGGTTTCGCTACTATGAGTTTTTAATTGTTCGAATACATTTGAGTTAAATAAAAAGTGGCCTAAAACTTCAGTTTGAATTTTCAGTTTATTAACAGCTTTATGTGTATAGTTAAATTGTTTTAATGTTTTTTCAGTTTTAAAACATATATCAATTACATCGTTACTGGGATAAATTAAGCCACCATTATCACCTTTTCTATTTTTTAATGTTATTAATGAATTTAAAAAACATTCTTTGTCAGTAGCACACAACGCATCTTTACATGTATCACATTTGAGCACATTAGTAAGTTTGTGAACCACGAATCCAGAAATGTAAATAATAACTTCTTTAGAGAAGTTACTAAAAGAGTAATCACTATGGCTTCCTATGTAATCATGATCTAAAATAAATGAATTTATACTTCTCAAATTTTCTTCCTGAATAATTGCATCATAATTAAAACCAGGAGTATTGTTATTTAAAACATTCACTGGATCAGAACTAGAGTAATGCAGAATTCCAATATCTTCTAGGGGTATACAATTTCCTGTATTAAAATTTGTAATATCATTGATCCGAATTACTAATTTTTTATAGGCTGAACGGAATTGTCGAACTGTTGGATTATTGTTATGACCACCATGTGATCGAATACTTCCAAAAAACAGTTCGATATGGTCTTGACTTAATCTATATAATTTTATATGTTCTAACTGATTGGTTTTAATTAATGTAGAATATAATTGTAATATGCTCTCTAAACAGACAATGAATCCTATGAAACCTGTTTTGCGGCTGGACTGAAGTACAGGTACCTACAAATATTCCAGGTTTATCTTCAACTTTAAGACCCTTGATATAGGTTTTGAATTTTTTAGTAAATAAAATAACTGATTCTATATTTTCTTTACATAATGCTTTCTTATAACTAGGGCTCGGATTTATATGTAAATACATATTTTTACTGTGACTTGATAAATTAATTTAGGTAAGTGATAAATTCGTTTCAAGGGATTTCCAATAAAATGAACTATATTTTATTTTACATATTTTTACATATTTTGCCATAAGTACATGTTTTTACATATTTCTCAATAATTCCATTTTTCCTACATTTTTCGACAATTTGTTCATTTACGATTTATTATTTATTAATACAGACTTTCCCATGTTTCCAAAAGTACAAAATAATACCAATTTTTAACCGATGTAGATGGTAGATAAATTGCAAATATTATTATTGGAAAATTAAAGTTTAGTAGAAATTTTAAGTGTAGTAGATGAAGCGGTAAAAAGACTTGAAAAAGTTCAAGGACCAATTGGCGATATTGTAAACTCTAAAGTTAAAGATGTACTACAAAAAAATTCCGGTCTAGCAGAAATGAAAGCTATTAAGAATATTCTGACTGGTATTTCGTCTGAAGCTTCATTGGATGTAGAACTTTCTCCTTCAGACATAGTCAACATGCAATATTGTCCTATAATATCAGTCGAAGTTGAGAGATCTTTCAGTCGATATAAATCAATTTTACGACATAATCGGCGATCTTTCGAATTCGAAAATTTAAAAATGCATGTCATTATTAATTGTAAACATAATAATTAGTAATTAGATAGTTAGATAAATATTTTTTTATTACATTTCATTTTAATTAATAATAATATTTATTTTTTTTTTTGATAATACATATTATAAATTTTTTAGCACATATTTATGTACATATTTTTGTTGTATGAATACATACTTTGGTTAAATAAATACATATAAATCCGAGCCCTACTTATAACCAATGCAATTTATGGATCTCGAATTTAATATGTCAAAAGCAATATTAAACAATTCAATAAATTGAATTGTAGCATCTGCATTACAAAACTCATTAAGTTTAAGAGAATTTTTGCAACATTTTAAAGCATCTGCTACGGATTGACTCAACAATTGTGTCGCAAGTTTCACTTTCATTTTTTGTTTAAAATAAAAGATGTGTTGCTTTCTCAACTTATTTGCTAGGTGGCAACCTTCCTTCTCCTGCAAACAGCATAGCAATTTGATGTATTCAAAATTTATTTCTTTTCCTTCAAAATCTAAAAATACTTTTTTCTCGCCAAAAGCATTTCTCACTAATTTTACCATGTGAGCTGGATCAAAAAGTGTTACAATGTTAGGATTGTTCTCACAGCCAGAAGCAAAAGAAGTATTTAAAGTTTCTATATTATAATTACAACCTAAAATCTGAGCAGTATTTATATTACTTGAACAACCGTCAAAGGTTAAGCTGATTATTTTAACGCCGGTACTTTCTAAGACATGCAATACATGGCGAATTAATTCAGATTTTTGAGAACTATTTAAACTACGAGCTAAAAAATAAGCAATCGGCAATTTCCAGCTTTCATTTACAGACACAACTAAAAAAACTAAGCATTCTTTGGCAACTTCCAAGCTATCATTGTTTATTCCAATTCCCATATCCACTCGACCATAATATTTGCTACCATCGTATTCCAAATGCTGCCGTATAGCCATCTCATCAATAACTAAAGCACAATATATATTATGGGATGAACTTTTTACTTTCATAGTTAAAAGTTTTAATGATTCATCTGTGAATCCTGGTTCTGCATCTACGTGTCTATACCATTTACTAAGCGTACGCGAGTGCGGCAAAATAGTATCAAATTGTTTTCTCACATAATCATAAGCTCTTGCCGAAAAGAAGTGTAGAGATAAAGCAAATTGCCTCACAGTAGGGCTATATTTTTTATTAATTTTCTTACCCGTATTTTTTTTAGACCAGTTAGTGATAAGTTCTTTGTGTTTGCCGAATGACTCAAATAAAGTAACACTAGTATCTTCATCTATAAGATTTTGTTTCTTTAAATCTTGAATAATGGTCTTCATACTGGCAATTTTCTTATTTTTTCTTCTGATAGTTTGATTTATAATTTTCAACTTTTTATTTTTGATTTTCATCTCTTGTGAAAGTTGTCGAATGCTACGTTTTAGGAATATTCGACGTGGAGTGTCATCATTTTTAATCTCAATAGCAGCAAGCAATGAAGATTGCATGGGAGATTCTGCTACTGGTATATTCTAAAATAAATATAATTATCATTATTGAAATATTAATAATTAATAATTAATTATATTTGTTCATTTTACCAATAATTCATTATTGTGTGTATCAGAAATACTACATGAAGGATTTGTCTCATTGAAGGGTAACACTCCTTCTACCTCTACATTGTTTACAGACAACTAAAAGAAAAAAAACTAATTAGTTACTTACATACAATCACATAGCATAAAACATTATTGAAATATTAATAATTAATAATGAATTATATTTGTTCATTATTGTGTGTATCAGAAATACTACATAAAGAATTTGTCTCATTTAAGGGTAATACTCCTTCTACCTGTACATTGTCTACAGACAACTAAATATATTACTTAGGTACAATAACATAGGTAGCATAAAGTATTATTTAAATTAATTTTAAATTATATACGTATAAATTATATTTGATGGCTGAAGAGAACTCGAAGTTGGTATTTTTGTAGGCACAACTGAAGGTGTTACAGTTTCAGAAACTTTAACTAAAGTTCTATCAAATTGTATAATATTTGATGAATGAAAAGTACTGGGAGGCTCAGACAAAGGTGTCAATATTTCAGAATATACTTTTTTCGGCTAAAAATTATAATAATAATACTCAGGGTTCGTAAAAAAATACGTTTATCGTTCCGGTTCAAACAAATTTTTACTGTCACCTAAAAACCAAAACGAGTTTAAAAAAATGCTGCTATTTCATTAGAAGTACAAATTTTGAAAATTGGTAGAATTTTGTCAGTTCGATGGGTAGCATCAAGCAAACGGACAGTTAATGCAGTCTTAAATAATTTGTGTGAACATTTCAATTTGGCTTCAATGGACCCTACCAGAGACTCTAATGAAAGAAGTAAATACTGTGGATTGTTTAAAATGATAACAAGTATAGAATTTGTTAGTAATTTAAATACCATGTCTGATGCTTTAGACGAATTAGGAGATTTATCAGAATATTTACAAAAACGTAGTATTACGTTAGTAGAAGCTGATAAATCTATAAGAACAACAATACGTGTATTAGATTCTATGGCAACCGATCCGGGTCCAAAACTAACTGACGCATTAAAAGAAATAAAGAACAAAATGTCGTATAAAAATGTAATATTACACAGTGGCAAAGTTCCTAAAATAAATTCTGCACAATTTTACAAAAGCCTAGCTAATAATTTAAAATCTCGAATGATGACTTCCAGTTCATCAAATGTCAGTCAAGACAATGAAAAAACGTTTAAAAACTTACTTGATAATATTGAAAAATTGAATCCAAAAAATTGGCCACTTTCGAATGATGGTAAAAATATATTTAAATTTTTAAAAGGGCTGAAAATATAATGTGAGTTTCATAAAATAATAGACACAACTTATTTATTATTAAAAAAGGGTTAGTAATTTTGGTTGGGTGAAGCCCCCAATTCTATGGTATGTATTACTCAAAAAAAAGCGTTCCGGTTCAGAAAATTTTCCATTTCGAGCACTGATAATACTTACATATAAGTCATTTATATAATAATAAATATTTATACTAATAAATAATAATATTAGTATATTGACTAAAAATGTAAGATATATGCATACCCATTTTATTCGATCAACAATTATGGATGGAGTGGCTGCCTCTTTAATAGTTTCCTACTTTTATTCAATATAAAACAAGATTTATCAAAATGAAGTGAACAAACCAAACTACTAATTGTCACATTTTCAGGATTTAAAAAGTTTTTAATTAAAAAATTGTTCCATTTAATTTTATCACTTTCATCTTTAGGAAACCTAGAAAACAATATACATATTATAATTTTAGTTTAAATTGCTTTAAAGAAACTTTGTTTTGATCAAACTCAATTTTGAAAATGTTTAACTATAGTAACTGGAATAGTAACAAATGTTTAATAAACTTTCGTTTTCTTTACTTATGAAATAATAATTTAATATCTCCACATAATTTTAAATCTTTTTTATAAATATTACCAAAAAGCATCCCCCAAATTCAAAATTGTGACTATAATCTTACATGTGAAACGATATATTGGCAGCTTTAGAAGTCTGATTTTTTGTTCTTCCACATATTATACAGCTTGGCATAATAATAGTAGTTTAATAAACGTAGAATAATAATTGAGATTAATAAACAGCTTCATTAATAGTAACAGTTAATAGTTTAATTAAGTAATTACTAATTAACTATCAAACTATAAATTATTATACATTAATATTATTATTAATATATTTATATTATATATTATTATATATAGAACATTACTCTATGATAAAGAATTGTCTTATGAACAGCCGTTTTGTACACAACTTTACAATAATGTCCAAATGATTTAGTGGTAACACTGTATTTACAGACCTTTATCGGCTTCAATATTTTATACGGGCATAATACGTATTTGCCTCTCTATATTACTCTATGGTACGACCGCGACGAAAACGTATACGGAATAGAGGGGATAATACGGTATCGTTCGCTGCTGTGTGAAACGTAATAACTAAAAACGGTCGAGCACAATATCTTTTTGCTTCAAAAATACTTGACTTTTTTGCTAATATATTCGTTATTATTCAACCAATTTTTTTGAAAATGACATAGGTATAATCTACAAATCATGCCCGATCTATTGATACCACAAACAGACCAATCCGTTCATTAATTAGGTCTGTAGGCCTGGCTAATGAAAACGGGCAAATTTACACACATTTAATGGGCAAACTCTGGCTCGTGTAATATACTACGGTAGTGACCGCCTCGCTTTTTTTTTTACTTAGCTTCGCGCCACTACCGTCGAGCTGGATATGAAAATAATGCAACGACGGGCGAAGCGCAGACCGCAAATAACAGACCGGTTTTGACCTGCCGGCGGCGCCCGGATGTCGGAGCTAGGAAGGGACAAACGCTGCCGCTAGAAACGACAGCAGCACATGACGGCCACTATTAAATTTTTTTCTGTAAAACATGCCAATTTTGTTCCAATAATACGGATTACAAGAATGGTTTTAGAGCAAAATACCTTTATTAAAAGTTGTAGAGAAGAGTTATATCGGGTGACGTAAAAAGCTCGATTTTCGATATTTCATTCTCAAATTCGATAAAATCGTTTTGCGTTTTCACTTTTTTTCACTTTTTTACATGTGAATAATTGGTATAAAAAATTAAAATATCGAAAATCGATCTTCTTACGTCACCCGATATAACTCTTCTCTACAACTTTTAAATAAGGTATTTTGCTCTAAAAACATTCAGTAAGCCGTATTATTGGAACAAAATTGGCATCTTTTTGTATTTTTGGCCTTGTGGCGCCCGTGTGTACTTCATATTTCATTAATTTAAATTCGAATTTTGATAATAACTTTTAAATTTATTAACAGTATACCTACTTCTTTACAACAATTATTAAATAACAGTAAAATGCGTCTTTTCTACCATGTAGGTATTTACTATTTAGTTGTTTTTGTCTATTTACTATTTAACCATAAATGGTTTTTAAAATATAGAAAACTATCCTTTAAAATCATTGAAAAATGTGTATCAGCTTAAAATTGTTTGGGAACCTTATAATTTGGTACTTGAGAGGGCCCTGGGGCTAGACGCCACCTTAATCCGGCCTTGACAATAATATTGTTGTGTAAATAAAAACTATGGGTTTTTCATGAGAGTGGACTGTATATATTTTAATGTAAAAAAGTGTGTACTAACGTACATTTTTCTGTGTTGCAGTTGTATACCTTGTAAAATGAATTACATCTTAAATAATATAAATCAATAAACAACATAACACGACTGTTTACAAAGTGATATAAAACAATATGATAATAATGATAATGAAAGATGTTCAAAACATAATTTTAACATACAAATTAAAATATTTATAAAAAAAATTTAATTATTACAATAATTTTTATTTACTTATTCTAGGAAAACACTTATATTTAAGCACTTTAGAATTATTACATGGTCATTTTTTGGGCAGTGACATTCGAGAAAATCGCTAAATAGACTCACATCCTTTGATTAGCATGCTTTCTGATGTAATATCTCAAGTGAAATCCTAAAATAATAATCATGTAAGTTGTAAGATATTGCTTGAAAATGAATAAATAAGTTAAAAAAATGTTTTCGTTTTCTTTAGAACAACAAAGCTGACGCGGAAAACCAATTAACTCAGACAAATTAAAAAAAAGCCATTAAGGTGATAAATAATGATAACATTGTAAAAGTAATTAAATTATTAAGTTAAGACATTAACTGTTTCTTCTAGAATGTAAAAATAAATATATCTTTCTCTTCTATAATTTTGAATTGTGATTATTTGCTATGTAGCCTTCATATTCTACAACAGCAGAATTAATCTAAAATAAAAAGAATAAAAATTAAGCTGTGAATACTGTGTGACATCTCGAGACATATTATATTGCTCATGACTATTTTAATTATTTTGCAGTTTTCCTGATTACATATTTTATTATTGACGCAGCCATGTACTGCTATAGTATTGAAGTTACAATCTGTTTAATTAATTGAAAATGGCCTAAACACAGTTTTATCAACATTCAGGGATAGATTTCTATTGTTTAAAATGTAATAAAACGTAGCTTTCCTAATAAATTGTTAATATGAAAATTCCATTTTAAGTTGTTATCAAATATAACACCCAAATAACGATTTTACCAACTATTTTAATTATTTTACAGTTTTCCTGATTACATATTTTATTATTGACGCAGCCATGTACTGCTATAGTATTGAAGTTACAATCTGTTTAATTAATTGAAAATGGCATAAACACAGTTTTATCAACATTCAGGGATAGATTTCTATTGTTTAAAATGTTTATTATCTGATTGAAATCTCTGCAGGCTTTCTCATAAACCCCATCCCATGATTTGTGTGAGAATAGAAGACAAGTGTCATCAGCATAAGTAACTATCGACCCATCAAAATTAATATTACATATTTCATTAATATATATTATAAATAGAATGGGTCCAAGAACACTACCCTGAGGTACACCATTTTTAATTCCATATGTGTTACCATTTACTTCATTAATTTTCACCGACTGTATTCTATTATGCAAATAGCTTCTAAACCAGTTTAGGCTCAAATTATTAATTCCAAAGCTAGATAGTATGTTTAATAAGATTTGATGATTCACTGTAGGTATCAAAAGCCTTGGCTATATCTAAAAATACTGCTAATGATTTATTGCTATTATCTATACTCGGTGCGCCGAGAGAGCGCAAGTCGGCCGCGCATCCAAATTCCAAATGGAGTCGCTCCGCGGTTTCGTGCCTCGAAAAATTCTTAAATTTAGGATCTATTTGCCAGCTTCCTCTAAACTTTTGTTTTTGGTGGCTTAACTTAGTTGTTGATTCACCGCGGATTTTAACGACTCTGTCACCATCACTGTCATAGTCACTCATTTTAAGTTTTTTAATCAATTCAAGATTATTATTATAATATTATAGCCACTGAAATAAATATGATTGACACAAAAATATAATAGAAGTCAACAGACTATATGTCTATACTGCCTTGAAATAGAATAATAAATAATAACCTGGCAGTTATCTGTGGGATTATACATTGAGGAGTATATCTGGTTAAACATGATTGACACAACACTCAAATATAATAGAACAGACTATATGTATATACTGTAAATAAGAATTTAATTTTTACAAGAATATTTTCTTATCTGTGGGATAATCCACTGAGGAATATATCCGGTTAAAGGTGTATAACTTATAAATAATAATTTATCTTAAATTGCACTACTATGACCCAATTTAAGACGTAATTTTTTTGTCTAATTTTTCTTCAAGAAAATGAACAGAAGAACTAAACATGTATATTATATACAATAACATAATAAATATTAATATTTAAATTACCTGAATAAATTATATAAATTTAAATTAAGGAGGTAAAAATCAGCAATGATAAGATATTATCAATACTATGGTCTATGGCCGATTGGTGAAATACTGAAATTACCGTAAATTGTCCTTGGACCGTACCATACCGTACACTACTCTAAATTACCGTAAAACAAGGACAAGGACCGTATCATTGGCAACACTGTTTCGAGGTCTAATTTCTCCCACCAAGTCGACTGGTCGTACGCCGTCGTAAACTACCGAGCGCTAGCGACTGTTACCGTATTTTGCCAGTTCACGTATATTATCAGTTATTACTTTATTGTTTATTTTAGTTATCAATTTATCATTTATTTTATTATTTACAATATTATAGTACATCGCATATACAAATACTATTTACAATATAATACATCATACACATAATATTAACAAGATAAAATATATCGCATATACAAATACTATTTACAATATAATACATCATACACATAATATTTACAAGATAAAATATATCGCATATACAAATACTATTTACAATATAAATTATAATACATCATACACATAATATTTACAAGATAAAATATATCGCATATTCAACTTAAGTTAGTTGGTCATCATTCAGAGTCGTCAGACTCGGAATCGGAAGTGTTTCCGGTAATGGTTAAGACATGTTGATTCGAGCAGGGGCGCATTAAGGGTTCACATATGGGGGGCAAAATTATTTTGCGCCCCTGGTGTATTTTATGAATATTATTGAAAGTATAAAAAACTTTAAAAAAATTTCCTCGCTGCGCTCGAAAAATTAAGTTAGTACCTTACATTTCATACAGTTATTATACCTATATAGATATCTTATTAAATTAATTACTAAATATCTATTTGGAACTTGGAATAATAATCCTTTCTTTTAAAATAGTACTGGTAATTGGAATATTTATTATGTAAAATGTTTTTATTTCATTAACTAATAAATACCTCCTAGTAAGCAACTCCTATATTTGTAGTTATTTATGGAGTACCTATGTATTAAGCATTGACTTATAATAATAAATATATCTTTATTCTTTATTAACAATAAAATATTATTACATATTATAAAACTATTTAAATGATAAATATGGAACAATACTAATTAAAATATTTTCTTATTTTTTTGTTCACAAACTCTTTTATAATACTTGACCAATCAATACTTCTAATCA